CACTTTTATAAGGTAGGTCACACATCTGAACGGCCTCACAACATGAGGCAAATAGTTGCCAAAGGAGGTATCTGTTTACATCAGTCTTCTCAAGCGAAGAGTGGTCCGGAATGCCTGCACCCATTTCCTCCCAACAAACACAGGATCACACTCAAAAATCCTAATGTCTATTGGGTAGGGAGAGCCAGGTCACTTTATGTGCAGAAGAAACGAGGCTATGGAATTGATACATCTCCTGTAGGGTCATGCTGTCTGTGGCTTACCTCCCAAGCACACACAACTCACTAGCAGACAGCCATTCACAAATTCTCTCACGACTGCAAGTGGAAGAGACACACAAGAGTACTTTATGATCTATTCAGATGATGGGCATCATGGTCCCTAGATCAGTTCACCACTCACCAAAACCTAAGTCCATGCTACTTTCCCCAGAATGGGGAAAGGGCCATAGTCTCTGGGCTATGTCCTCGTCTTTCTCTGAGACAGGGACCTTCTGAATGGCTTTTCCTCTTTTTCCTTACAGTAGAATGTCTTGCTGAAAATAAAGGGATGGCGTTCCCATCAATTCTGATTACTCTTACTTGTCCGAGACATACCTGATTCCCTTCCATTTTCACAGCTTGTGTTTTGCATGCTTATCTCTCTTCCAGCTATTCTGTATATCCTTTTTCAGAACAGAGGATGTGTCCTACATCCCACATTGGTTCTAATACCTAAAAAGCTCCTGATCAAGGAATATACAAGAGGTTCTTTTATAGAAAGTCCTTGATGTAATACTCTACGTGCAGAGATGGTCCAGGTTTCAGATTTGGTTCATGTCTCAACAAATTTCTCCACCATCCAAGATTCTTCTCCATATCCTAGACTATGCATTCACTTTAAAAAGCTTGGGCCCATCTCTAAGCTAGCTCTGTTTGGGGCCACCTAACGGCTAGAACAGCTTTCCGCCAGCCTGTAGAAGGGTACTTATTGCTGTCACACCCATTAATAAGAGGTTCCTTAAGGCTTATAGAAAGCCTTTTCTCCCCTCCTCTGACTAGACCTCCCTTGAACACACCTGTTTGCTGCTATATTTATCCATGAAAATGGTCTTCCTGATAGAGATGAGCTCTGTTTGGGGCCACCTAACGGCTAGAACAGCTTTCCGCCAGCCTGTAGAAGGGTACTTATTGCTGTCACACCCATTAATAAGAGGTTCCTTAAGGCTTATAGAAAGCCTTTTCTCCCCTCCTCTGACTAGACCTCCCTTGAACACACCTGTTTGCTGCTATATTTATCCATGAAAATGGTCTTCCTGATAGAGATGACTG